GGTTAGGTTTCCTCCTGTAGTAACACTGGACCTCTAGGAAGAACAGTTTAGAAATGATAGAGCTATCCAGTATAAATAAACTAAGTTAGTTTAGTTTAACAGGTTTCCTTTTGTAGTAACACTGGAGCAACAAGGGGCTGATAGAGTTATCTTATATAAATAAATTTACTTAGGTTTCCTCCAATAGTAGTAGCACTGTACCAACAAGGCATCTCTTTGGAGAATAGTTTAGAACTGATGGAGCTATCCAAGGCAGGATCAATAGAGATTACCTTTTCATTTAACTTTTACAGGACAATCCACCATAACACCTTCATCAACTGTTAATGTACAAGGTAAATTTAAAACGTTGAATTCAAATAATTGAAGTTATTGATGTTGCTAAATAAAATGACAGCAAATAAGTTAAAGTGCCCGGGCAACGATATTTCAATATAATTGCTCGAAGGGCGCTAAAAAGAGCAATAAAAATTAATATCTCAAGCGAAATATTAATGTATGTTATTTGGTTAGTATTGAAGGAATACCAAATAATTTTCCTTGCAGGATAGCGTCATCCGTGTAGGTGGATCTAGCATGCGAGACTTTCGGAAAACGTAAAGAAGCACGAGGGGCAGGCTAGTGTGTTTTTTAACGCTTTCCGAAAGTCGGAAAACGTTATATATAAACGGTTAACTCTATGAAACACGTTAAAATGTTTTCATTGTCCGACATTTGAAAAAAAAACGCGCGAAGGCATTCAAATTTTCCGTGCATAGTGTTGACCAATTATATTGCGTGTTTCACTGTAGTTATTATATAGTGCATGATCTTTGACTTTGATGTTTCTTTTTTGTACAGCAACACAAAGTTTAAGTTGTCAAAACTGGCAATTCAGATGTAATAATGGACAATGTATTAGTTCACGTTATCAATGCGATGGATATCGGCAGTGCTCCGATGGTAGTGACGAGTGGTATTGTGGTATGTAGATTTCAAATTAAAATTTGCTAACTAAAAGGTGCAACCGCTTCTATCTAGATATTAAACGCATGCGTGTATATTTGGGGGCGCTTACATGTGGGAGAATAGAATGTGTCACAATTTTTATTCTTTCATAGCACGACCAACAACCTGGAGACCATGGACAACATCATGGCCCACCTGGCTACCATCACGGAGCACACCAGGATTTTGTCAGTACCGACAGTTCCGCTGCAGAAATGGTCAATGTATTGATCAACCCTATGTGTGTGATGGTCTATATCATTGTTTTGATGGTACTGACGAAGATTTCTGTAATTCTACAGGTTAGATTTCAACTTCTCGGAGGTTTTGTCGCCACTACTTTATTGCCGTGATGTGTTTCACTTTCTGTGAGCGCCGCTGTCTAAAGAAAACCCAAATTCATTCATTCATTCATAGTTCTCATTTGTTTTAAAGTTTCTCGTACAAGATTTGAAGAAACTTTGTTTTAAAGTTGTTTTAATAAATGTCTAATTTTAGCTGTACGACTTGTTGGTGGTTCTCACAATGCAGGAAGGGTGGAAGTTTATTATAACGGCAGATGGGGAACAGTTTGTGATGATAGTTGGGACATCAGAGATGCTCGCGTTGTTTGCAGACAGCTTGGTTTCCAAGATGCATTGGCCGCTCACAAGCGTGCGTATTTTGGCCAAGGCACTGGACAGATTTGGATGGATGAGGTTGGATGCAGAGGGAATGAGTCATCGTTATTTTCATGTAGACATTACGGATGGGGACGTCATGATTGTGCTCACAGTGAAGACGCTGGTGTTCTCTGTGGAAGCACTGGTAATGACAAAGAATGTTAAAGTTCTAAGACTGCCATTAACTTCGGAATGGACAAATATTCACTATATTCGTGGTTCTTTTTCAGGACCGAACACGACAACCCCATGGCCAACATGGTCATCAACGACTCCATCAAGGAATTGTGAGTCCTGGGAATTCCGCTGCAGAAATGGTCAATGTGTTCATCGATCAAGGTTGTGTGACGGTGGGCGTGACTGCAATGATGGAAGTGACGAAGAAAGGGTTGTCTGTGGTAATTCAACAGATTGGTTTTTAGTCCCTCGGGGTTTTGCATTTCTAATTTGTCTTTGGAATTGACGAATATTCACTCCTATGACAATCGTTGTTCTTTTTTAGGATGGAACACGACAACGCCATCGCCGACATGGCAACCGACGAATGCATCAAGGCAATGTGCGCCCTCGCAATTCCGCTGTACAAATGGTCAATGTATTGATCTATCTTGGGCGTGC